ATTCCTTTAGTTTGTTTCTTTGGGGATGTCTCTGATATGAGTTGGAAAATGTTTGACGTCAGTTCCCCCCCCCCCCAGGAAACACCATCAGTCTGGTGAAGTGTTAAGCATGATTATTTGGGAGCTGTCTTACCAATTCCCTATTTAAGGTACATTGGTTGAGGTTGTGCTGCCAGGTTCACTATTAATGTTGCTCCTATTGTTTTGGAATGTCATCAAGCTGTTTATTATCTGGGCAGGATTCGCAGTCCTGGAGAGTATATTTAGAGGACATGTATTTTGTAAGTAGAAGCAGGAATCTTAGACTACACTTGCAAATTTTGGCGATGAAAGTGCTGTCAACAGGCAAAAGTCACCAAAACTGGACACTCGTTTTTCTGGTACCCACTATCAACAACTCACGAAAACATCTGTAGCTCCCTCATTGAAAGAAAGAATAAAGCATTGTGGATATGCATCCCACAGTGCCTTGAGTCACTTTCACTTGCTAAGTTCTGTGGGAAAGTACATCACAGCATTATGCATGTTGGGAATGTGAAAAATGTCCTGTCAGCCATCTCTTCTTCCCAGACGACCCTGGGTTTCCTAGGGAGCTGCCAGCTGCTCCGTGTGCATTTAACCGACAGCAGTTTAGCTTGTGGAGAACCTTGGTGCACAGGATACTCATAGACACTCCTGTATGTACTAGCATCTTTTGACAAAATGACCCAAACTTCGCTTTCAGCATGACGGTTATGTTTGTCTCCCCATTCGTCATTTACAAAATTGGGGGAGAGGAGGAAGGGGAACTGGACCCTATTATTGAGGATCCAAACAGGGGAAGCACAATTAACTATTCTCTCTTCTCACTACTTTCCATTCTCCATGTCAGATTTATCAATCTCTTGAACAGCACAGCTGTTGGAATTTGGTCCAGCTGCTCTCTAATCTCGTATTTTAGAAGTTTTTTTCTATAACTCATTTCTGAACACTTTTAACACTTCATTTGTACCCTGAAGCCAATTTACCATTTCCTCTTTAAACCCATTATTTGCTGTTGCCAGATTTATTTTTAAGCTCCTCATCTTGAAATCCCACAGGGCCCTTTACTGCTGATATCTTTTTCTTAGGGATTACTCCAGCTGTTTCTGAGGCATCCCTTATTAACTCATAAGCTTCTTTCAGTGATGACTGTAGCTACAGGAGGTCTATGGCTGCAGGATTTATTAGTCCTATGGCTAACTGTAATTCATGTTCAAGTCCATGGATAACCAATTCACAGAAAGCTGGCACATTATAAGGCACTACACCCTTCCTGTCCATCGATGCCATACCAGTTAGCCAAAAGAGCAGACTCTTTCTTGCTATGTATGTTTCCAGACATTCTGTTGCCTCCTGTCTTTTTAAGTAAATCTTCCCAATAGGACTTTCATAAAAAAACATTTTGTATATTTACACTTTCACACATCTATAATTTCATTGACCTGTCCGATTGGAAGTCCATCAAGTAGAGCCGTGGTCCCCAACACGGTGCCCACGGTGCCCACAGGTTGCAGTGAGTTGGGGGAGGGACAGGTGCCCTTCATTGTCAGAGTGGTTCTTCAGAACCTCCCTGATACTGATAACCATCCTGTGGGCTTCTCTGTCAGCATGAGTCTCTGGGTGCCAAACTATGCATCCAGATCCTGGGTCTCGCTGTTCCTCGAATTATGTTACATGAATTATGTAAGTGACAGCATATGCCCACCATCTTGGGGATATGATCTTCCTAAATGTCCAGCCTGCCATGGAGACACCCCCATCTAGCTTTCAGTCAACCATAGGCACATTAAATAATCATGCTGCATTGGCTTAGCCTGTTGTCGAACTGTTCCTTACTGCTGTTCAGGTGCCCCATGTCAGGCTTCATGAGCTAGGGCTATAATGAGTAACCCCTAGGATCATTACGGACATTTCCATATCTTCCGCTGTAATTTTCTGGTCTGGAAAAAAATCCCAGCATGCAGCTTTTTGAACAGGCCACGCTCTTCAGGGGCCAGCTCATTACACAGTTGCAGGAAGGTAGCTTTATGCATCCGAAAGTTCTGTCGCTACTGGGCTTCATTGCACACCTGCATGACAGTGTGATCCCACCACTCAGTGCCGGTTTCCATAGCCTAAAAGCAATGGTCCACAGTGCACAGGTGATCTGTGATAGCCCAATACACTGCCAGTTTGTAGGTGTCATTCTCATCCTCATCCGTATCATCATCAGATATCAAATCCATAACTAGCTGTGCTGCAAGATGCGATTCCTTCGGCACATTGATCACAACATGGGAGAGAATTATGAGATCCATGATTTTTGCAGCAGATGCTGGAATTTGCAGCAAGTACTGTCATTCAAGTGGTACAAAAGTAAGCCAGAAGCCCAGGGAGTGCTGGGAAGCAAAGAAGTGGCTGACGGGACATTTTCTCATGTTCCCAAAATGCATAGCATTACGTTGCATGTTCCCACAGTGCTTAGCGGCTGAGGGTGACAGCAGGCATACCCACATTGCTTTGCTCTTTCTGTTGACTTTCTGATTGGGGTCCTATCAATGTGGCTGTGAAATGTTGACAATTGGAGGCAGAAAAACCAGGTTGACTAATTTTCACTTTTGATGACTTTTCCATGTCCACAGCACCTTCACTGCCAAATCTTTCCAGTGTAGACATAGCCTAAGTGTTAAGAAGTATCTGTTCCAATAGTGAGGTCAAGGATGAAGAGACCTGGCTTTTTGTTGTTGTTTTTTGGCTACAAACAAAATCAGGTTCCTGCTGGTGATGTAGATGGGTGGATGAACCCTATTCTTAGGTTCTCTTGGAGATATTTTTGAAGCATCCTCTGCTCAGCCTCTCAGAGGGAGAAAATACATCCAAAAGAGATCTTTGCTCATGGCTGGAGATGGATGGGACAGTCATAGCAACATTAAGGTGGGAGGGTATCAGCCTCCCTCTCATTGGAGACATCTGCAAAGACCCAGTATTTAAGCTGTGTTTGTTGATGTGAATGGTAACAGAGTGCATTACCCTTTTTGTTCTGGGATACCCAGAGGGGCAGGTTTTCCCAGGAATTGTATTGCAAATTGCCTCCATTTTGGAACCAGGTTCAGGGAAACATCTGTTGGCAATATGATGACCACAAACAAACTGTTCCTGCCCTCCAGAGAATATGTGGATCAGGAGTTATAACCAAGTAACACTAAGGATGACCAGAAACTGTAGGGAATAAAGCAAATTGAACTGAAGGGTTTTATGATGGCCATGCAGAGTTATGATTTCTCACGGTGCATACATGATAGGACTTGATGAGGAGTGATTCTTCAGTGGATCCTATTAGATTGGGTCAAAAGTCCGAAAAGAAGTCAGTGACAAAAGCAGTTAGAGAGCATGGAATGTGTACAAGACAAACTTTAAAACTCATACTGTGTGGTTTCAGCTCAGATTCCTTGACTATAGCATATCACCTTCAGCTAACCAGCTACTGTGATAACAGA